TTCCCTTTTAAGACCGTGCAGTTCTGTGTCCCTTGGAAGCCTATGGGAAGTCATTTTTGAGCCTATCTTAGTTTAGAAGTATAGATTTCACAGAATCAATGTATAAAACCATCAAGATGATTTTGAAACACTGTGAAAACTAAAAAATTGGAACCTTCGCTTAGAGAAAGGCTGCACTACAGTGAAAGGCTTAGATCTGGTACCATACATCTCAAAGTCAAAGTTTTGATCTAGTATTAGTTCCTCTTGTCCAATTATGTGTAAAAAGCACAACCCTAGGTTAGCACTCTTCTTCTGAGAAGTTGAATAAACAATGACCACTGGTTTGTAAATAGCTGAAGTCACTCTTGCTGATGTCCTGCACAAATCTTGTTCTTCCTAAAAGCCAAATTTGACCACATCAGCAGTTTTATTATGTGAAGTCTAACAAACATCAACCCTGAATTGAAGTGTACAATTTAAATCAGTGTTTCTCAACCCCGGTTCTGGAGGCCCACTGCTCTGCGCATTTTAGTGCTTTTCCTGCTTTAACTCAATAATGGGCTGGTAATGAGCTGGTTAGTTTGATCAGGGGTGTTGGGAGCAGAGAAAACACTACAAAGTGCAGGACAGTGGGCCCCCGAGACCAGGACTGAGAAACACTGATTTAAATCATGTTGGTAATTTTGACCATTGAAAACAGTCTGTTTTGGCATGATAATCCAAAGGGATTGACAGTTGGAGCCATACATGAAAAAAGCATGCTAGTTTTCAAGGAAATAATTGTGCTGTCCAAACTGGAGTCGTATAATCTGACCTGCATCGGACAGCAATTTTGAAAGTGTTACAATACATAGAGATGTCATTTAGTGGAACCTCTCAGTTTATCTCAGTCATATAATCCTATTTACAAGCTCTAAATTACATGTATCTTATCTTCGAAGCTGCGATTGAAATGTAGCTAACTATAAGTCACATGCTTCTTGTTAACTTGACAAGATGAACTGGAGAGGAAGTGTATTCTTGCCACTGAACAAGATAAGATGAAACCGAAAAGGCGTGTTTCCTGTTCTCAGATCCAGTCATAAGACTGATACTTGTCTGAGGGGCTTAACTGAAAGTGAGCACCTCTCAATTATATATGACTGTTATGAGAACTAGCAAACACTGAACCATCTTGAACAACCGCGGAAATGGGACCGTCTGTGGTCTACTGGTCAGCTAAGGCGGAGACTTTTCATTATTCTCTTTTTTTTATTCAAGTATCTAATATATGTTCAAGACATACTTCGGTAAATCAATTAATCTCTTGGATTAACTCCAAACCTGGGACTATGTTCACCCAATCCATTATGTGTACTTGTGTTCTAACTAAAATGCTTGGCCGTTTTGTTGAATTCTCACTGCCCAATTCTACATACTAGCTAAGCATTCTAGTCAGAGCACAAGTACACATTAGCAACACACTAGTCTTAGCTTTTACATAACTACACAGGTGTGCACTAGCTCTCTAACTCTACTAGTTACAATCCAAGTTTACAAGCACACACTAGCTACGGAACTAGCTCGAATTATAACTCAAGCACACACTAGCTACGGAACTAGCTCGAATTATAACTCAAGCACACACTAGCTACGAACTAGCTCTAGTTATAACTGAAGTATACACTAGCAACAGACTAGTTCTAGTTATGACTCAAGTACACACTAGCAACAGACTAGTTCTAGTTATGACTCAAGTACACACTAGCAATGGGCTAGTTCTAGTTATAACTCAAGTGTACACTAGCAACAGACTGGCTCTAGTTATGACTCAAGTACACACTAGCAATGGGCTAGTTCTAGTTATAACTCAAGTGTACACTAGCAACAGACTGGCTCTAGTTATGACTCAAGTACACACTAGCAATGGGCTAGTTCTAGTTATAACTCAAGTGTACACTAGCAACAGACTGGCTCTAGTTATAACTCAAGTACACACTCGCTATTGACTAGTTCTAGTTATAACTGAAGTACACAGTAGCTACTGACCAGCTCTAGTTATAACTTTAGATAGATAGATAGATAGATATATATGATAGATAGATAGATAGATAGATAGAACTTTATCCTTCCCAAACGGAAATTGCACTGTTACAGTAGCAAGACATACAATTGCGCATAAACTTACATATATTTGGCAGAAATAAAATAGGAATAAAAAACAGACATAAATTAGGCAAAAATAGAAAAATAGACATAGTTTAAGTAAACTAAGAGAAAGCAGGAATAAAAGTATATCTATTGCAAATGTATATAGCATAAAGAACAGATTTGTTGTATTTACATGAGAGCGGGTATTGCACTAAGTGGTATGAGGTAGTTACAACACAATGAATATAAGCATAACTATGAGTATCAGCAGTGTAAATGAGGATCAGCAGTGTACAAACTACACTATAAGCACAAGTACGTAATAGCTACACACTAGTTCTAGTTATAACCAAAGTTCATGAGTACATTTTGGATACACAATAGTTCTAGTTCTAATCCAATAACACACTAGCTAAGCACTAGTCCCACTAATAACTAAAGTGCATAAACTCACACAAGCTATTATAGTTATAGCACAAGTAGGCTACCCACTAGTTGCCATTATAACTCATGTACACAAGTGCACACTATGCACTAGTTCTAGTTTGTAAGTCAAGTACACAGGCACACACTATCTATGTTCTATTTATAACTAAAGTACACAAACTCACACTAGCTATTCGAACTGTGACACAAGCAGGCTATGCACTAGTTCTCGTCATAACCCTGGTAAATAAGTGCACTCTAGCTATGCTTTAGTCTAGTTATGACACACGTACACATGTGCACAATAGCTAGTTCTAGTTACCCTCAAACCTCACAAGCACACACTTTCTACACATCAGCTCTCATTATGACACAAATGCACACTAGCTATGCACTAGTTCTAGTTATAAACCAAGTACGCAGGTACACACTAGCAATACACTACCCTAGTTTTAATTAAAGTACACACTACTTGCACAATTGTTCTAGTTCTAGAAACTTGAGGCGAGTGCTTTTACATTGTGAGCAGTCTGGATTCATGTATATCCCTGCTGAAAATGGACCATTAGAAAGCATTAGAATTTTTTTTTTTAGTGTTTAGAATAGTTTTTCGTGTTTTCTCTGCTCCCAGCACACCTGATCCATCCAATCATCTCCTTATCAAACCATTATTCAGTTAAATTGGCTGTGTTAAAGCAGAAAAACTACTAAAAAGTGCAGGGCAATGGGCCTCCAGGACCAGGGTTGAGAAACACTGCTTTACAGTGTGATTATCAGAGCAGAATATGAAAGGAATCTTCAATGACAGCTGATTTCAGAGAGGTGAGATTTCCAGAGAGTTAGGCCCAATCCCATTTCACCCCTTGCTCCTACCACTTAGCCCTTACCCCTCTGTTTTGGCGTTCACATCTAGGGTTAGGGTGTCCCAATTTTTGTTGAGATGGAGGGGTTAGGGCTACATGGCCCTTCAAACGGAGGTTTTTCAGAGACTCACTCTAAACAGAGTGTTATGAGAAAAAAAGAAAAAACAGTATGACGGCTGTGCGAGCGACCAAAGAAACCCACAAATGTGAGAATTTTCTCTGTTAAAATTACGATAACTGTCGTATTATCTTAGTTTAATGTCGTTTCAGTGTATTATGGTCGTTTTCTTCATAACAAGCATAAAAATCACTATTAGTACGCTAATGTCTCAGTAGCTAGCTAGCTAACTTTCCCGTTCCACTTTAAATAGTCTAGCAGTTTCGATGCCTAAAGCGCCAGAGTGGAACTGCTGCACCATTTAATTAAGGTGGAAGGAGAAAATTCGAACAAGAAGCTGGTGAATATCTGACTTCAGCTTCATATCACCAAAGAATTAGCGGTGGGCGATAATAAATAATCGTCTTAACCCCCCTCTGAAGGCATATGATGCCCTAAATGTAACTAAAGCCCAGCAGTGAGGTTGCTGAACTTTACCCTCCTCTGCTGTCACTGCTTACTGGCAGGGTCGCCTACAGAGCAGCGCTAGTAGCCTGATAATGAAGTAATGCTCTTTTTTAGTTGAGGGTCCCATTTCACAGGGGAAGATTTCAGCAACTACCCTTTGTAACTCCGTTCCAAGGAGTTAGGGTGACACTCGAAAACAAGGGGTAGGGGTAAAAAGAAGAAATGGGGTTGGGCCTAAGTCTAGTCTATTCAAATGGGCGCTTTTACATAGGGAAATACCAGACTCCACTCCACTCTGAGCACCAAGTGCTCAGTTGGGCTACCAGATTCTTTGTACACACCGCGCTTTTCAAAGCAACGCTGAACAATTCTGAAAGTATAAGTAAGGCGAAAAGCACCCAACATTACCCGCTGCATCTCCTCCAGCGTCGGAGAGACAGAGTGTGTTTGTGAAGCAGCGGTTTGCGCTGTTTCGGGGCGGATTATGAGACACGCTGTGTGTGTTTCCTGTGCAGCGTCATAACGCAACTCGACCGCAGAAGCACGCTGGCGCTGGGCTTGATCAACACTTCAGAACACGCGTTGTATTATTTTCTTCTCCACCCGTATTCCGACAAACCCCGCCTCCCCCCGCGCTGTAATTGGCTAGCTTCCCAGCTCCTGTACCACGATTGGCTGGGATTGGCAGGTTCGGCCCCGCCTCCGGCGCGCTGATAAGTGCACAAACTACAAGCCAATACCAGCGCACGGGGCGTGGCTTTTCCGAATACAGGTGGGGGGAAAAAAACAAGGCGAAGACCCGCGCGAGTGTCGTGGAGTCCAAACGCGCGCTCTTGTTTGACCCGCAGACGGGATTTACTTTGTGTCTTCACGTCCTCAGCTCTGTGTCCGTCCGTCGCAGCCACACAGTTTCCTTCGAGGACCCTGATGTTTCCACTTTCCTCTCGCGCCAGACTCGCTCGCTGTTGACCGCTGCTTTCCGACGCCACGCCACGCGCCTTTCGGGGATGATGCCGTGATGCCCGGCTGATGCCATGCCGCGGAACCGCAGCGGCGTCGACGGCGGCGGTCCCGCGCCGTGGCTGAGCGCCCCTTCGGCTCATGGAGCCAAAGACAGTTTGGACGCCGAGGCTGCGCGCCCTCCGTGCGCCTCCGCTTCCTCGCGCTCCGGCTCGGCCACCGAGGGCCAGCGCGGGAAACGGGACGCGCGCCTCAGCCTGCTCGGGAAGCCGCTGCTGTACGGCGCGCACGGCGGCCGCCGGAACGCGCGTTACCGGCGCGTGCAGAACTGCCTGTACAACCTGCTGGAGAGACCGCGCTCGTGGGCTTTCGTCTATCACGCCTTCGTGTAAGTTGCACGTTTTCATTGTTTTTATCTGAGCGGCGCGTTTGGCGGAATGCGCCGCCGCTGCTGCTGCGGCTGCGGTTACGGAGTGGAGTTGACCGTAGTCTCTACCTGTTGCTGCGAGTTGCTTTGCATTAGAATGAACACGTGTCGTATGAAATGAAGACAAGGGACACATGCTGAATTCACCAGATTAACACGTGTCCTATAGGCTACTGAGTTCATCACGCTAACACGTGTCATCCTGAATTCAAGAGCACGTCATTCTAGAATCATGACATTAGAATTCTAGATGTCATGTCTAAAATGTCTTTCTGGCATCATTACATCTAAACATGTCATTCTGGAATAATAACATCTGAATATGTCATTTTGGAATCATTACATCTAAACATGTCGTTCTGGAATAATAACATCTAAATATGTCATTTTGGAATCATTACATCTAAACATGTCATTCTGGAATCATTACATCTGAATATGTCATTTTGGAATCATTACATCTAAACATGTCATTCTGGAATCATTACATCTGAATATGTCATTTTGGAATCATTACATCTAAATATGTCATTCTGGAATCATTACATCTGAATATGTCATTTTGGAATCATTACATCTAAATATGTCATTCTGGAATCATTACATCTAAATATGTCATTCTGGAAAAATAACACCTAATACGTCATTTTGGAATAATACATCTAAACATGTAATTCCAAAATCATCACATGGAAAATGTGATTCTGGATTCATTACATGTAAACATGTTATTCTGGAATCATTACATTATAACATTTCATTCTGGAATCATTACATTCAAACATATTGTTCCAAAATCATTACATGGAAAATGTCATTTTGGTATCTGGAATCATTAAATGAAAACATAATACTGGAGTCATTACATTATAACATGTCATTCTGGAATCATTACATTATAACATTTCATTCTGGAATCATCACATTTAAACATGTTGTTTCAAAATCATTACATGGAAAAAGTCATTTTGGTATCATTACAATATTTAATTGTGGAATTCTGGAATCATTACATGTAAACGTGTTATTCCGAAATCATTAAATGAAAACCTTATACTGGAGTCATTACATCAAAGCGTGTGATTCTGTAATCAGTACATTAAAATGTCTTTCTGGAATCCTTACATCTAAACATGTCATTCTGGAGTCTTTAGACCTAAATGTCATTCTGGAGTCATTATGTTTAAACATATCATTCTGGAATTATTACATCAGAACATGTCATCTAGAATCATTACACCTAAACGTATCATTCTGGAATCATTACATTAAAACATCATACTGGCACCAATACATCAAAACATGTCGTTCTGGAATCAGTACATTAAAACATCATTCAGGAATCATTACATTAAAATGTCGTTCTGGAATCGTTACAATAAAATGTCATTTTGGAATCATCACATCAAAACATTCTGGAATCATTACTTTTACACATCATTCAGAATACATGAAAATTAACACCTCTTTCTGGATACATGACATTCTGAATTCAAACCAAAAGGAGATCGTTTCCAAAATGTATGTTTAATTAAGTCGTTGATATGTAAACAAAGTAATTCAGAGTGGTTTGATGCAAAATGAGACATAATATACAATTTTACAGGGTCTGATTTCTTTACAGTGGTGCTGACAGGAACCAGGGGTCGCAATGTCTACAACACAAATATAGCCAAATTGTTGACTATCCAAAAGGACCAGGGAACCTGCACTTGTCTTCTGAGTTTTATATGTAATGAGCAGTGCTGATAATGGTATAGTACTGGTAAATCCTAAAACATAAGTTTTCGTTTCGTTTTCTTTTGGGCCCTCATAATGCCCTGTATGTTCCTCTCAGCCATGAATGGATTTTTTAAAAATTAGGTTTGAGGCCAAAACTGCGGGTGGGCAGTGTATTGCATGTAATTGCTTTGCTTTTAAAGGCACATGCATCGACGTCTGGTTCCCGTCAACTCCACTGTGAACAGTTCTGAAACCAGAACAAAACATTTCATATCAAATCACTTGAAAGGGCTTTGTTTACATCTTAATGATTTAACAATGTAGACATTTTGGAAAATCCATTTCAAATGATCCATTAACATGTGCCATTCTGAATTCCAGAGAATAAACGTCATACTAAAATCATGAGTGTTTGTATGTTGTACTGAAATAGGATCTAAGATGCATCGACTGCCATACTGAAATTGCATCATATTGTCATGTTGATAATTCTGTATAGCATGGAATATGATTCCTATGGGGATGTGCAGTGCCCCCCGCAATGCCTGGATAACCAAGGAGCTTTAAATCTCAGCAGAAGCCGTTTACTTCCACTTGGATGGTGGTAATTGTGCCTTTCAGAAGCCCCCTTAGTGGTGACTCATAGAGGATAAGATAAATAAAGTCAGCATTCTAATAAAGACGAATGCATTTAGATGACCTGTACTGCCATACAGTGTTATGGAATAAGGCAAAGTGCAAGAATGTGAGATTGGGTCAGCTCATTTGCTGTGGTCCTTAGAGGACGTTAATATACCAGGACAGAAGTGCACAGTAGTACAGAATGGTGTGTTTGGATGAAGGCAGCGCTGGTGTTTTTGTCTGCTGTTTGTTGGAGGATACTAAAGAAATGGGTTGAGCACATTCATGCAGTCTCACCACCAGGGTGTGAAAGTTTCATCTCAAGCAGATTTCAGACGAATCTTTTCTGGTGAACTGCCCCTCCACAAAACATGTTTTCTCCGTTCAGTTAGAATAAATATTGCCTGCATCAGTGATTTTAGCCCTACTCTAGAACTAGACTTAAGCTGCTTTCTTCAAACCCGGCCCTGGGGTCGTAAAAGTGAGAGTGCTATCATTACTGTGTTTAAGAGCTTGGTGGTCATTTGCTCTGAATGATTAGTGTTTGTTGTTGCACAGCAAGACTTCCAAAGCATAAAAATAAATCAAAAGTTGTTTGATGCCATAAGATTGTGTGCCAAACCTTTTGTTGGAGAAGGATTTGCCATCTTGTTCTTTGAGAAGGCTTACCTTAGTCCATTAAACCTTTCTTTCCTTCCAACAGATTTGTTCATAACCTTGGTGAATAGATGGGACAGTGTCTGTTATTTTTGTGCAATGTCAGATCATATTCAAAGCATTGCTGCATTGTAATGGTGCTCTTAACATTGGCATACAGTAATATTACCAACAGTGTTGTACTGTAACATTCTCAAGTCTCATACCACAACTTTCATAGCATTGTCATATTTGTAAAATTATATACTATCGTATTCTCGTATCATACTGTAACATTCCCCAGAGTCATAGCGCAACTTGCTCAGTAGTGTCATACTGTAACAGTCTCAACAGTGTCATACTGTAACATTCCCCAGAGTCATACTGTAACTTTCTCAATATTGTTATATTGTAACATTCTTAATAGTGTCATGCTGTAAATTTCTCAACATTGATATGCTGTAACATTCTCTAGTGTCATACCATAACAGTCTCAACAGTATCATCCTGTAACATTCTCAACACTGTCATAACGTATACTGCAACATTCCCAAAGGTGTCATACCGCAACAATAACAGTGTTGCATCATAACGTTCTAAACATTGCTATATTGTAACATCCTCCGATGTCATGCCGTAACATTCCTGACAGTGTTAATTTTTAACATTCTTAACAATGTCATGCCATCACATTCTCAACAGTGTCATACCGTAACATTCTCAACAATTATATGCTATAACTTTCTCAACATTGCTTTATTCTAACCTTCTTAACAGTGTCATACTATCACATTCTCAACAGTGTCATACTGTAACATTCTCTGTATTGTCATAGTGTATACTGTAACTTTCTAAACCATGTCATATTGCAACATACCATCAGAGTCATACCGTAACGTTCTCAACAATGTTATATATTGTAATGTTCTCTAGTGTCATACTGTTACATTTCTCTGCATTGTCATAATGTATACGGTAACTTTCTCAACAATGTCATATTGCAACATACCATCAGAGTCATACCGTAACATTCTCAACAGTGTTATATATTGTAAGGTTCTCCAGTGTCATACTGTAACATCGTCAGCAATGTCATGCTTTAATTTTCTCAACATTGTCATTTTATAACATTCTCGTTCTCAAAAGTGGTAACATGGTAACATTTTCAGCACTCGTCATAGCGTAATTTTTCTCACCAATGTCATACCGTAACATTCTCAGCACTGTAACTTACTGACACGTTGGCACAGACAGTCAGGTTTGTGAGCTCCTATTTCATTTAGGTACCCATTTCAGTTCACACTTCACATTATATAGAGCAACTAAAAAAAAAAATCAAAGTTCTCTTCTTTCCAGTCGTTTCTACAAGTGATTGGAACGAAGACACAGTCAACATTTCAGATCCAGTTGTAAGGTTATCCAGCTGTATTTTGCATATTTCTGCAACTCCATATTTAACATAAAAGCACCAGCATTCAAAAAGCTGCACATACTACAGATAAGGCACGTTACATTCATCGTTACATTCATTGTTTTTCTGTCCTAAATACGAGCAGCTCTTTTGTCAATGCACCTTTTGGTTTCTGGGCAAACGGTACGCTTCAAAGAGCATTTGGCGCTATTGGCTTCTTTCATCTCGCACAGAACTCGGCTGTGTGAATATTTACTGAGGGTTGCTGCTGCTGTTTGAAAGAGAAAAATGTCAGAGTGTTTTCCTTTGATAGAAGTTTAAAGAGAAAAGATGCAGTGGTGGGCTCTGCTCCGAAGCTTACTGCCGCTTGGCCTAAGACTGTATAGCGACTATGGGATGCTGCGCTAAGCCATAGTGAACCCATTTACAGCAGACTTATTTCATTTTTGATGTCTTAGCTCAGTGTGCGCGTGTGTGTGTGTGTGTGTGTGCACTCGTACTGAAGCAGGCTTTGTATAGTGGGCTGCCCCTCCTGCTTTCAAGGCGCTTCGCTGTACACAGTGCAGTCTTT